ATTCAAGATTTATTTATGAGCTGTGGGTTTGTCATGACGTTGACCAAAGACCATTTGTGCATGTTTGACCTTGACTGAAGGACATTTAGCGTATTCAAAGTCACTAGTAAAAGTGTACTATTTGTGTTCGGTACATAACTTCGAACGAAGAGACATTGGCAGTTTGTGCTTTACACAAAAGTTTTACTACCTATGACTTGAGTATATTCGATTGTCATTTGGGTATGTATATGCGCATTGGCAGCAAAGGTGTTAAATTAATGTCATATCTTTGTAATAAAAAGCATTTTATTCTAATGAATAGTTTGAAAGAATATGCTGCAGAAATTAGGGGTTGTATCATTATGAGCTTGCTCACAATAAAACTAAATTGTTCAGATATGATGTGCTCAAGGTCACAGAATCAGAACATGGACACAAGGGCAAATATGAGTGAAAGTGGTATATCTTTCATTTAATGTAATCATGATCACAAAATGCCTTTCAAAACATACATTGATTGAAACTGGGATATTGACACTTAAATGAGAGTCACTATGGGAGCTCAAATAATTAAAGTAGAACTATTTCAAGCAGGCATGTAGTATTAGGGTTGAGGTTAGGAGGGGCAGGAGGCTGCAACCCGCCTACATTTTTTTCCAAACATAACCTTTATAATTGAAAATGTTCAATGAAAGGCTAATCAATTTGCCACCTCCCCTTACTTTTTGTTGTGGCATAGTTAAATATGGTGGTTTATTAATGTATTAATGGAATTTGGTTGTGAAAAGAAGTTGGAACCTGCATAATTTTGAAACTAATTGATCTTTAATATCCTTGTTCTATGATACTTCAAAATGCAGAATATAAAGATGTGTCTCAAATTCATCTACTATCTTATTACGAAACTGCATGCCAAGTATTAATTAGTTATTAATTTTGCATCAACAAAATTGTGCTTACAGTCAAACAAAGAATGTAACTTTTGGATTGAAAATTTTTATTTGATCTACTTTCATGAATACAATTTATGGATCTGTTTTCTGGCTACCTGAGGGTAACCACTATCCACCGACTTTCAGCATCACTGGTCTGTACTGTTATAATTTATTCTCTGAATCTGAAAAAGTGAGAAAATTAAAATGTAATAATATTATATAGATTTGCCTTCATATACTAGGCACCATTTCCAGTTGAGCTTGTTTTAATTGTTTGTTTTTAATTCTTTTAAAATTTTAATTTAAAGTCTGAATATCAATTGATTTGATTTACACGATTTTTTGGGGGGATATAAACAAAAAAGATGATGAAATATGTTTCCCATGTATTCTGTATTTCAAGAATTTTATGCCTTTACACTCCTATCTAGCTCCTAGAGAAAAACATCTAGCAAATCCTATTTAAGCGCATAGTGGCAAGCCAAAGGTTTTGTGTCATTTCCATTTCCACAAAACCCAGGTAATTGTGCAAAATAGAATTGACAAAAAACCCTTTGCTTGTGATGATGATTAATGCAAAGCATCTTTATTGATATTAAATTCTAAGAAATCTCAATGTTTAATTGTTTTATTAAGACAAGTTTATGTTTGTACTATATGTGGTAACATGTTCTTTTTTCCTGTCTAAATCTATATCAACACATCCCAAATGTAAATGTAATATGTGCATAGCTTTGCTTTTCTTACATCATCCAATTGACTTCAAAAAGCTGAATTTCATTCTACAAACAGAAGTACAGAGCACAAAATTGAGATCATATTGATTTTAGATATTCTTGAATTTAAAAATCCTGCAATAAAAGGTCAACTGGTTCTAGGTTTTAAGGTTGTCAAAACACTAAATTATGTTTTCATTTCTTTCCATTAACACCCCCCCCTCCCAGGAAAAAGGGGGTATAGTTATTCATTTTATCAAACTTAAATGCTTTATATCTAAAGATTTCTTTCCATTAACACAATGCTTTTTTTAAAAAAAACTGAATGGTCCTTTATATACTTATTGTACACCAAAATATTCGATATGAAAGTTTGGTTTTGGATGTTTGAACTTAAATTTTGGCACAAATGGCGATCTGTAAATGTCGCAGATAGTGCACTACCGAGTGTACAATATCATAACTATGAAATAAAGTTTTCGAATGAAAATGATTATTTCCTCAATAAAACAAGTTTTATAAAAATTAAATAAATCGCATTGAAGCGATTATAGTATTTTATGATATCTTTACAATCCCTTGTTTGACATTTGGCATGCTTGAAAATATTAAGAAAAACCCATATAAAAAGTGTCAGAAGTTGAATAGAAAAAGCTACGTCGGTCATTCGAATGGAACAGCCTCAAGATGAAAATTATATTTTATAAAGTTAAAAGGACACCGGAGAACAAAAAATGTTAATATACTGAAACGCAACATTCTATTTTAGGGGGAAATATTATAAATAGGATGTAATTTTGTATTTTAAAAGTAAAGACATCTTCAACTTTGTAAACATCGGTAATTTAATGGCTGTATGACTTTCATACCATTACCGGAAGGCAAGATTTAGTCCGCTTAACAGAAATAAAAAATTGCATGTTTAAGGTTTTGTCAAAGGTCAAGCTGTCCAAAAATTTATTTTTACAATAGCTCAAAAACTATGTGAGGTATAAAGTTAAAACCATTACAGTTTATAAATATATCATTGATTAACAGATAGAAAGTATCACTTGAAAACAAATATTTAGATGATATATTTTTTGAGAAAAAAAATTTCAAAAAATTGGCAAATTTCTAAAGAAATACACCTGCTTAATTTTGTACTTTTAGTGAAAACCATCATTGCAGAAATAATATATGTTTATCAATGAAGGGCAAGTTGGACATGAATGGTCTCTGAAAGGCTGTTATTGAAAGTTTGACATGTATAAAGACAAGACCCCTATAAAATCCGCCATTTGCAATGTACTTTCGGTTTCATATCTTAACATTTGGACAAAATAAACAAGGAAAACAACTTTCCAGAGGCTATCGACGTCAAACTTGCCCTTCATTGATAAAACATATATTGTTCCTGCAATGATGGCTTTCACTAAAAGTACGGAATTAATTAGGTGTATTTTTTTAAAAATATATGCATTTTTTAAAAAAAGAATTTTTCTCGATAAATATTTTTTTTAAGTATTTGTTATCAAGTGATACTTTCTATCTGTTAATCAATATATTTATAAACTGTAAAAGTTTTAACTTTATAAACCACATAGTTTTGGAGCTATTGTAAAAATAAATTTTTGGACATGTTGACCTTCAAATCCTTAACAAAACATTTGGCAATAATATGGGGTTTTTAGGGTTTGTATCTGTTCATCATTAGTAATGCAGCAATGTTCCAAAAAACAAATTCTCCTTTCTTTTCCGTAAGCGATGCTAAGGCTTCGTTAAAATGACTTACTACGCATTTCCATTGCTGTAGCTGGAAAATCTCAAAATAAAGGTGATGGAGAGTTGCAGATGCAAGTGTGCACTACATCACGCCTCAAGAGGCTCTTACGTATTATTAGCATGAATAACAGTCCTTGGACCTGAAGTCCGATGGTTACTACACAGCGCTTGGCTAGAGAAAATTCGACCTTATCATGTGAAAAACGGGCATTTAAAAATGGCAAAGATTATTTCTTTCGTCAGATCTCGAGATTGATTAACCTACTGCATCATAGAAATCAAGCTGCAATTTTTTGTGCATGGCAGTCTTGCACGCTGTAATTGAATGGCCGGAATGGGGGTGTTTTAACAGTCATGTATTACTTTCTAAAGTTAAAAGATAATCATTTAACATTTTTATCAAATCTCTGATGTTTTTAAATCGAGTATTACCTTACTGTATTCATTTTTGAAAATTAATAGATGAAAAATTCAAATATTTGTAGAGTTCTGCTTGTTGCGTTTCTTTTACGCTTTAGTATATATTGAAGCAATGGGGAGTTATTGAAATATATTTAGTACCTTGATTTGAAATTGGTATTTACAATTTTTCAACAGTGTTTAGAATTTGCGAGACACTACAAGAAGTAAAAAAACAATTTTTTTTATGAAATAGAATAAATATATTTATATTCATGACTTTTAAAAAAAATCTAGAGCAACTTCGGCTATGCAGCCTGTGTATGCAATGTGTTTATACTGATGACGCTTATATATTATCGTATTTTGTTTTAAATTTTAAAACTTTACTCAATTATTTTCTATATATAAATATTATGGTAATCACTTGGCAATGTGGAATAATAAAGACAAAAGCGTGTGTCCACGGACATAAGAAAAAAAGAAATTGAAAAATTCATATTACTATTATTATAGACGTTATAATGTAACTAGCTTTACATCATAGTGGGCCATGCGGTTATTCAAAGTATTTACACCTATCAATAACATAAGTGTGTATTGTTGTAATTTTTATACATTTACTAAATCATTGTCTATATTAAAATATTATCGTTAACGTTTGGCAGTGTGGTCATTATTAAGAAAATAATGTCTACAAACTTTATGGAAAATTCTCGTATTTTAGTGTGTACAAATTCTGTAGACGCGATGCTTGTCATATGTTACCTCTGTTAGTGTGTTCAAATGTCGTGATGCATTTCAACAGACATTTAACAATTAAGTGGAATACTTAATCCTTTATCCAGCGTTTATTGATTGAATTTAAAACTGCACCATTTTATTTTCAGAATTTTGGGATTTGGTTTTAAACAAGAAAAAATGGAGCATACTTATACTCATTTTGTTGTCAGAGAAATATAGCATTTTATACGAAAAGAAATTGCTGGAAGAGAAAGTTGAACAAATACAACAGACCTTTTTCACACTGAATGGCTCAGATGATGGAATATCTGACAATGCATTGCTTATACAAGAATTGATAAACAAGGATAAACTACAAACAATGAATAGAGAGAAGACACTAAAGTTTAAATCAGAGGACATCCGTCATCAGGTGATGGGATACTTTATCCTGAATTGTTGAAAAAACCGATGAGGACTATAAAAACTACATCCATCTATCGTCCTTTGATTCATTGTTTGATTATGTCCGTACATTGGGTTATAAAGGGGGAAAAGACGAAAGGTGTGTGTTCTTACCGAGGACTGTGGAGGAGACATTAACCAGCAGGATTGGAATAGACATCGTAAGGCACGTCACATTGAAAGATGACAGGATGAAAAGCAGGGTGTATGTTACTTGTAAGTTTGTCATAATTTTTTATTTCCTTTTGCCATCTATAAATGTAGTGCCACTTTCGAATAGAAATATGCTTCCAGCTTTGTAGAAAATAATTTACATATTTGTTCCTGCTCTCACATCGTAGAAAATAATATTCATGTTCGTTTCTGCACTGCATTCTAAACTTGAAACTCATTTAGTAATCAGATTGATGTAGTAAAACGTGGATATAGAATATCATTTGAGACAAGGTGGACTTCAGATTTTCTGTTAATAAGGTATCCTTTGCCCATGACATTGTAAAACCACCTGCGTCGTTCATAATACAATTGTATAGAGTTGTGTTGGAGAGCAATGTTTATTAATGATTTCATACCATACTTAACAAATATAATCAGTTTAAAATAAAAGATCAGAAATTTTATTTCTAAAGTAGACGATAACTTATTTTTATTTGGTTCATGCCTTCTTCTACAATTGGTATTGAAATAAAAACCCAACTGAATAAAGTCTAAATGGTTCAAAATAAAGCAATATGAGCTGCAATTTTGATGGGAATTTTTTTGTTATTTTAAATTGTTATTTACTATTACATTGACAGAAAAAGAAAGTTTAAAACTTTTGATGTTCATATTTGCAGCGGAAGAACTATTTAAAAGCTTTGATTGAAGCAAATTAACGTTATTGTCATCCTTTACTTTCGTATGTAATACTATACACATTACATTGCACAGAAAAGTGTCTCTGAAGCAATTTCGTGCTGCTTTATTTTGGTCTAATTGATCAAAAAGGATTAAGTTACATACAGATTTATCATAACAGCACAATTTAACAGGAAAATAAAAATCTCAGTAATGTACCTCCTACATGTGTATTGCTTAAAGACTTACGGATAAGATTCGAAGTCTACGAATTATCATGACTGTTTTGAATTCCTTCGAAACGAAATGCACTGTATTTATGTTTTTCGTACTTTGATGGCAGCAGTAATCTTTGAACTATTAGTGAATATGTCTCTAGAGTTTCCGATCTTCTAATTATTCCTTTTTAGTAAATATTCCAAGGGAAATTCTGAATTGGGACTACGATGCAAGGTGCAGATATGTAGAATGTGCAAAGAAAGGGACACAAACGATTCACAGGGCTCGTGCTATGATTGTTGGATGTGCTGGTGCTGGAAAAAATACCCTGCTAAAACGACTAGAAAAGAGATCTCTTGAAGAATTAAAACAGGTTAAATCTACCGTAGGCCTAGAAGTACATGAGGACATCTTCGAAATTTTGGAGGACAAAGATTTCTTGAAAGGTATTTTTGTTTTCTTTCTATAGTCTAAATATGAAACCTCATCTCCATAATAATTTCACCCCCCCCTCCCTCCCCCCAAAAAGAATGATATTTAACATTGCATTCTTTGAAATACATATATTTTGTTGTCGAATTTAAACAACAAAAATATATTGAAGGTAAATGTTTTTTGCAAAATGTTGAAGTAAACCTAAAATAACGAAAAAGTAAATATTTTATCTTCAATTTTACCTAATTTACTGCTGATTTATTCCCAATCTGATTTTAAGAGTCAGGAATCGATGAACAGAGAAATCGTTTACTTTTTGTTAAATGTTTGAGATACTCTTAAACCCTCTAGGCAAGATAATTGTTATAATGCTACATCAAAGAAACAACTTACATTATATTTTAACAAATAGAAATTAATTATCCCCGGAGCACAAATGAACTTTTCATTTTTTATATAGGCATATTTTTCTATTTATAAACATCACATGATGACTTCGTAGTAGTGCTTCTCTTTTAGCCTATGACGAATTGACGTCTTTACAAAGGGTTTTGAAAGCTTCCTTAACATTTACTTATATAACATAACATAAAACGTTTTAGCTCACATTAATTGAAAGCTTATCCTGTTAAAATTTTCTCCGATGTCTTTCTATAAAAAGCTTCAATTCAAGAAGCAAGAAGCATTTAAGGGAGCCGACTGGGGTTTTATTGTGTGAAAACTACAATAAAGAAACTCTTTAAATTTATACCATAGGTAATTTACATTGACTTTAGTGTATATGCCAAGTTTAGGGAAAATATACAGTCTGGGTATTTTAGGGACCGTCTCAAAATACAGGTACATTTACTATAGCGTTATATTGGAAAATGCCCTTTTTGTTCTTTAAAGCAAATTATACAAAAACTACAATAGACATTTTGCTCAAATTACAATATGTGATAAGTAATATTATATTATACGTCAACATTTTCCTGTTTTTATGGAATGCTACAAAATACGACAGATAGAATGATTTCTACAAAAAACGAAATTACACGAAAATATTTGAGATATTCTCAGATTCCTATGCTTAAATTTTCAAGAGCTTATATTGTATAATTTTGCTTTAATAGCATTTTATATGACCGCCTCATAAAGAGCTTCTGTTTATTTTAACGTCAAAAACACACTATTACGACATTAGTTTAACTATCGATTGAAAAGTCGTTTTAAAAATCAATTATATAAAATCGTAATTACATAGATTTGTTGACCTGTGATTTCTCAATTCTGTTAAATTTTATTGATTTTGGGGGAAAAGGTGCTTTGAAAGTATAAATAAGCTATATTTTACTATGATGCGCGAAGTATTGCGTGGGAAACCCTAGTCGGCCCCCTTAACTTAGTCGAATTAGTATAAAAACATCCCCATGTAGTGCAAATTGAAGTCGTGCAAATCATGCCTCTTAAGGCGCGTTACTCATTTTGTTTGCACATATCGTTGCAGTTATGAGACTACATCTTTTTAAAACACAAATTCAATGCTTAAATGGTTAAAGTATGGTTAAAGTATGTTATTACTATTAGAAGTGATTTCATTGGCACCCATTATGTTCACCACAACTTTTAGTCCATGTATTTACTTGACCTTGTATCATTAATCATGATACAATTGTATGATCCTGCATCAATATGGTTTCTGTTGTGCCAACTTTATGATACTAATGTATTTTCAGTCTTGTATATGTTCGAAAGGTATATTGCTTTGCGATATATTAAACTTGATATTATATAAGAAAAAATGCATTTTTTAGATACACGATTGAGTATTCCTGGAAGATAATTACATTCTTTATAAGATTAAAATTAAAAAAAAAAAATTGACGTGAAGGTTTTCAAATTACTACGAATTTTAGCTGTAACAGAAGAAACAGAGAAGGAAGGGAAACAACTTTTAAGTGTCATGGATTTTGGAGGACAGTGTGCCTACTACGCCTGTCATCAGGTGTATCTCAGCAGAAGAGCTTTCTATCTCCTGGTGATAGACATGTCTAAGTCGTTTGAAGAAAAAGTTGACCCAGCGATGTGTGAACAAGAGGGGACTATGTTTGCTGATTGGACATACGGGGGTAAGAGTCCAATATTTAATCAATGGTTTATTTAAAAATAAAACATGGATGGAAGTGAAATATCTATTCTTCAAATTTTCTGAAAATAGAATTAATATTGTTATTCTTTCAGTGTGCTATTCCTAAAATCTTGATTTTTTAATTTCTTTGGTACATATTTACAATATTAATTTTTGCATTTTTTAAAAACTTTAATGTAAAGATTGAAAACAGTTATCATGTTCAAAACAATCAAATTGTGAGAAGATCAAACGAGGACCTCGAAAACAGAGGTGAGGTAAGGTACAATGGTGGAGTGAGTATTCTCAGTCCATCAGTAACACCCGCCGTGTGCTTTTTGTCCTGATCGGGTATACACAAAAATCATAGAGAATTCAAGGTGTAAATACATGAAAGACGTCAGTCTACCTTCGAATTAACGATAGGTTGTATTTGCAAACAAGATCATTGTATTGACCATAGCATTTGCGAATTAACAGTAAACAATTTCTTGATATCCGCGTATCAATAACTCATTTGTCAATAATCTGGCTTGTTTTAAAAAATTGATCGTATGTAGAAAAAGCTGTTGCGTATGGAATCAAATGGAGAGAAAAAAAATATAAACCCCATATGCAGGTGATTATGATAAATTGCTACATAAATAGTTAAGATAATAATATATTTTTATTTTACTTTTCTATGTGTTTAATCTCATATTCTACCTTACCCTTGTCTTGTTCAAACTTCAGTATACTAAATAGTTTTTGTGTCGCCTGCAGAGCAGAGTGGCACTAAGTGATCACTTTATCCGGCGTCTGTCTGTCTGTCCGTCTGTCACACCTTGTATCTCAAGAACTGTAAGAGATATGGACTTGATAATTTGCAGATAAATTGCTTGGCACTATAACTTTTGTTAATTGCCATGGTAACCGACCTCGCGACCCTTGACCTTGACCTTTGACCTACTTTACAAAAAAGTGAATATTGCCAATATACAGCATATTTTTGACATTTAAGAGGTAAGTCTATATAGCATATGCACTGATTGTCATAAAACTTCATGAAAAATACAATCGTCACAATTCACTTGACCTTGATGTCTGACCTACTTCGCTACTAAGAAAACTACCTCGGACAGTTTAATTTAAGTTTTTTGAATTTTGAGAGACGGGATGTTGATAAGTAGCATATAAACATAAGGCAATATTTCAGCCATATTTCGGCGACATAAGCATTTATACATGTTTATGTTGCCGAAATATGGCTGAAATATTGCTGACTCGGCGTTAAACAATAATAATCAATCAAAATACATGTTTATGAGCTCTTGATACTGTACTTTGAAACTGTATGATATACCACACAAACAGATATTTATAAACTAGGAAAATACATCGGGATCATGTAGCATTACAGTTAGAGTAAGGACCTTAAAACATGTATTAATACATGTAAAATGATAAGTAATTATTTATAATAAATTCAATTTAATGATTCATTTTAGGGTTGGGAAACATATTTTCTTTGATTGTCAGAGTCTATGCTATGCATGGATGCTTTTTTTTCTGCATGAAGTATCATGCTAGTAGTAAATAAATAGCTAACTACACTTAGATTTATAAAATTTACATCTTTAATGAAGCTACAAATCAGGCGACACATGCGTCCTTGGAACACTCTAGTTTTCAAATAAACCAAATCATGAAACAAATTACTTGTCGACCATCAAGGCCCATGGACTTTGAGTTTTCATATCCGATGTACTATTGAGAGGTAGAAGTTTAAATAGTTTTGATAATCTTAGCTACAGACATATTGTTTAGCCATATAATTACAAAAATACATAGGTATTTTTGTAAGCTTATTTCCTGATATAAAGCGAACAATGAGACCAGGTTTGAATATGTTTGTTTGGGTGCTGCGTAAGACCAATTCTTTAACCTTAAAGACAGAAAGAATGATTTTTTTTTCGCAATTACAAACAACATATTACAACATATATTGCTAACGCCTTTTGGTGAATCCATTTGTGTTTGTGTCCATTGTTATTCAATATGAGAAGAATGAGGGTGTCCCCAAGGGGCTACTCTTATCCAGTTTCTATTCTATTCTCCCTTTGAAGTATGACCGATTCAGGGTCGATAGAATAAGGAGCGCTCAATTTAACGTTGAATTTACTACTTTGATATAAACCTTACAATATTGTTACAAAATATAAGGAATAACTGTCTTTTTTTGGTATGCCAATAGTTGAAAACGTGAGTTGATTTGCAGAACGGTTGAAGCATTTCCTGCCGTTCATGTACTTGGACTACCTAACAAAGTAGACAGTGGTCCCCGATTAACATTTATACATGAAATAGAATGGTAAATATTATTAAAAATAAATCGTCCAATAGAGATAAAATACACGAGGCATTCCTTATCAATTTCTATAGCCATTACACGCTGGCTTCAGACACAAAGACAGCCGTGGAAAATTGACATGCATGTAAGACACTTTGAGAAATGTACATTCAGTTGTAAATATCGAGAAATCAATACATTTAATACTCACAGCAAAATCAGTTGGAAATGTAAATATAGTATTATCGACCTTATTTTTACACAGAGTACATCCTGTTTTGGCTGAAGTCTGTCCACACCTATTGTGATAGTAATGTTTCAGTTATCATCGTTGGAACTCATCTTGACGAAGTCAAAGGCCAGGTATTCATGCATAATTTTAACCATGTAAATATTATGTTTTCTATTCATATGCAGTTATTATTACATAAACTGTTACACTTTAATTACCGATTTTAGAAAAGAAACAAGCTTTGCTTATAAACTCCTTTCTAGAAAAAGATAATTAAACATACGAATATTTACAATGTTTGCAGAATTCAAACACGTTCTACAACAAAATACTGGATCATCTCAAGTTCAACAAACATTTGAAAGCACATTTGGACCGAAAGAGATGCTTTGTTCTGGGTTTCCATGCAGCTGCTGAATCTTTTAATGATACACTTAGAAACTTAGAAAAGTGTATTATTGAAATTTCAAGAGAGGAAAGATGGAAAGAAAGCATCCCCACCCATTGGGCTTTATGTGAAGTTGTTTTTCAAGAACTGAGAAAAGGGGGCTTCAAAATGATGTCAGTGATGGAGTTATCAAAGATGTGCTTCGGTAAAAATGAAGCAAAAAGTGCACAAATCGGCGATGTCCTAAAATTTTACCATGATATAGGGGTCATCCTATACTTTAATGAGGGTGCACTTTCTGACACAGTAATCATGGATATTCAGTGGTTTATTGATTCCTTCAAGAACATAATAACAGACCCAAACCACGGTAGGGATATTTCAGAAAACAGCCGAGATTGGTTGGATTTTTACAACAGTGGTCAAATATTAGACAGACTTTTGACAAACATATGGGTTTTGAGATACGCTGAAATGGATTTCTGGAATAGATACCAGTACAAAGAAAATATTCTCCGATATATGGAACGTCTTGGTTTAATTGCTGTTGGTACAGTTGCTCATTATATTCCTTGTACGAATAAGCGCACATTTGGAAGTGCCGAGGAAAATTATTTCCACTCTTTGGAATATAAAACTCCAGTGTTGGTCTTTCGATTTGAATTCCTGCCATATTTTTTCTACTTCCGTCTCATCGTGTCCTGTTTAACAAAGACCAGCACAGAATGGAGAGTTTTACAAGACAATGGACTTTGTCTTTACAAAAATGTTGCTTGTTTTGCATATAAACAGCACGCAGTCGCTTTGGCCGTGAACAATTCTTCTATACAACTACAGGTTTTTCAACCTAGAATTACTCCGGTTGCAAAGAAAGTTGCATTGGAAGTTCGTGACACAATCAAACATTTATTAGATGATTTGCTCAAGAATTTTCACAAAAAAAATCGACATGTATACTGTTGGGTTCCAGTGTTCAAAGCAGGAAGTATTTCACGAACATGATGATTGTTTCGTTAAAGAAGAAGAGTTGTTAATTAAGGGAACTATGGGGTGTCCAAACCATGAACTGATGAACAGTCACACACTAAGTGAATCAGCTCTTCTATTTTACTGGAATCTGGTAATAATCACTCGTGTTTTAAGTATATGCACACACTCACACACAAACACGCGCACACTAATGCACTTAAAAAACAATAACTTGTTGAAAACCTTGCACTGAAAGAAAATAACTTTATAATAAATAAATGTATTACGTGAATTTGGATACTGATTTCTTTTTAAATATAATTTTGTTCACTCGATGTATTTTCCTTTAGTTTCATATCATACGATTGAGCCCATAAATGAAATCAACATTCTAACATATATGGTTTCCTGATATAAATTCTTTTTTTTTGGTTGATTTATTGTGAAATCATGACTATGCAATATTACAATTTCAAAAAGTTCTACACACAAATATACCCAATGACAACGAAATTATTGTTCAGCAAAATCTATATATATTAAACGATGTTTGAAATGTATACGGTTCATTTGTACATCTGAAATTTCCTTTTTGCAATCCAAGCATGCTAAATAAATATTAACACACACTTTGCTATTATTAATACTCATCAATTTTATTTCGATTAACAATTTTGGATTATTTAATGTGGATAAATTTTAATTGTGAAATGCTCATTTCTTAAATATATACATATGTAGGTCAAAGGAAAACGTATTTGAATCACAGCCTCGGTGCCTTTTTTATGTGATATTGTTTCATGATATATTGTTTTTTTTTCGAATATTTAAGAGTTCCTATTTCACTAAACAGTATTTTAATTATTAGTTCTTATATGCCGTGACCTTATATACAGTACATTTTGCAGCATAGATTAAGTAGGTCTTTAGCTTTATATTACAAATGTTTGGAGTATTATACCAATGAAAAAGATGACACTTCAAAAATCTTATTGTTGATATTTCACTCTATATTCTTAAACAACATTTGGTTTTTGTTAAAAATTTATGACATGCTAAATAATTACTTGATGTCCTTAAAAAAATGATTCTTATTTTTTTAGGATGTACTTACTGAGTCAACAGGTGATTTTTTTTTTCTATCGAAAGAAATTGTTTATATTTCTTGTCTAGAAATTCATCATTGACCTTGAAATTTACTTTGAAATTGTATGTATTTCTTATTTACATCAGATCCAGACACTTTAGTGGAAAGTGGGGTTTGTGGGAATCTTTCCGGGTCTAAATTGAAAATATATAGATTTCAATGTTTTGAAAAACTCACGAAAATCGGCAGAGAGGCTCTTCAAAGATACTTTGACAAAGTGTTTCCTCCGGCAGAGCTATTTATGCTAGTTCAGAAGAAGAAAGAGAACTTAAGTAGACAGCTCAATAAAGACCAGTTTGATCTACTGTTTCCAGGTATTCCAGAATTTGGATTGTTGTTGGACGGATTCCTTTTTTCATCAGCAAAGAAAATGCTTAAGTTTGAGTTTTGATCAAAGTTTGTTCTGTCTGTCTGTCTTTTGAGTGTTGTATGTCATCATTTAATTTCTTTATTACAATGCTAAATTTCAATAATTTCAACAAAAATGTCACAATTTTTTTTGAGTGATAGGGAATACTACAACGTAAAAGACACCATTCTAACTGAATTCAAATCAAGTCAACTTTCTAGGTTCTGCACAGATATTTATATACGGATAATTTTCAAAATGTTTTCTTAAAATCCCCTGGCATATAAGAGAAGACTAATATGCACTGAAGTATTCCCATATGGTATAGAGTTTTCATTTTTATTTTTAAATTTATAATCTATACAATTGTATGCCTATTATTTTATACATTTTTATTTGTATTTTTTTTTATATATAACCTTTTTGTAAGATACAAAAATGTGTCCTTTATAAAAATGCACGCTTTAAATTTAAGCAAAGAAAAGCCATAGTCAATTATGTGTATTATTTAGAAGTTCATTGATTTAAAAAAAAAAAAAAAAAAAAAAAAAAAAAAAAAAACTTTTTTACTGGCTATAGCCAGTAAGGTTCTTAGATTTAACCAAAGTTTGGTAGGTCTTATTTTAAAATAGTTAAAATTTAGAATGTCAATTTTTACTCAGAAAAGAAGAGCCACATATAGATATGACAAAATAAATCAACCTTATGCAAAATAAATAAATAAATAAATAAATAAAAAAATAAATAAATAAATAAATAAATAAATCATTACATTATAAAGGGATCTTTTACATAAGCAGATATTCTGAAATCTTAAAGTATTAACTTGTAATCATTCTTGTGTAATGTATAGAATGGGGAACATTCGATAGATCAAGATTTATATTATTAGCTGAGAATAGTTTTGTAACTCTTCTTTGCAAGAGAACGTCTCTATATGAATGAAAAATTCGCGAATGGGACGTAAAACGACAAACAATCAATCTTTGCAAGAGATATAACGGAGTGTTACATCAAATTATTACGGAAGAATAACTGTGTAGTGTACTTTATATGTTCTTGTACCCCAGTGCTAGGCTGAATAAAACTATATAACACAGGAATACAGTTAAAATTAAACCATGGCAAAGTAGTATAAGCATATCTTTTTAAGCCAAGCTCTTGATAACAAAGGTTCAAAATTTTAATTTTTAATTTTATTTATTTATTTATTTTTGTTTAGCAAGATTAAAGCATGAAACTTTAATCTAGAGAAGAAATTTAATTGATTTATCTATAAACATTCATTTTTGCTCTTATGAGCGTTAGCCCGCGTGGCTCAGGGTTAGAGCGTCTGCTCTAGAGTCGCGAAGTAAGGAGTTGATCCTTACGTCGCGGGTTCGAATCCCACTGTGGGACGTGGAGACCGGTCCTTCGGATGAGACCGTATAAACCGAGGTTCCGTGTCGCAGTAGGTGCTGGCACGAAAAAGATCCCTCACTGCTCAATGGCCCTCAGTGCCGAGTATAGGACAAAATTTGCAGCTGTCCACCGGCAAGTGGTGGCGTCTCCATATGAGTGAAAAATTCTGGAGAGGGACGTTAAACAACATACAAACAAACAAAAATTAATGAGCGTTGTGAAGATCTTTTCTTTTTAAATTATATTTTGAATCTGGATTCTATGTATCTAGAAATATATTTAATGTACCTTGAAAATAAATGTAATTGATATGATTTTGCAGTAGATAAATCGATTCCAACCTCTTCTGCATTTGATGTGACAATTATGTACAAACTGTTGAGGAACTATGGACCAAACCTTCCTACCCCGACCAAAGGCTGGGGAAAGCAACCAGAACCAGGACAAAAATCCGAAACTGATGACGTGGAGAGAATTCGAGTTTATAGGAATGAGGTTGAACATAAAACTCCAGCAATCAGTGTCATGGAGAAAGAGGACTGTCGTGTGAAGTGGAGAGACTTGTGTCAGGTGACTACCGTCTGTATACTTAATATTAAATAAATCTCTATATTTAACAACTGTGGATAAAAGGTGAAAAACGAAAGATTTTTACAACTATTTTCTACAGGTATTCGGTGTTACATATGTGTTAATTTAAATAATATCAAAATTTATGTTATTCTCATTATTGCGTTACAGTATATAATCAACTAGTAAGTATCTGGTGACCCTTAATGTTGCTTAATACAAAAGAGAAAAGAACATCTTTTAGCTTCTGTTAATCGATTTATAGGCTAGAAGGCTTGCAAATGGTATCTATTTGTGCAAGTTATAGTGATGAATAAATATGCATTTGATAATTTATTACTCGCGCTTTAAATGTATATGAAAGAGAAGGGGTGGGGAGAGATTAAATTAGCATTAATATTATTTATAAGAAAATTTTAAGATATTTACTATCAACAAGCAGTATATATTCTAGGGAGTTGAACGTGGAAAACTTTTATTTCTCATTAATTATAATAAAAGTATTTTGATGGCCTATTCCATTACACAACTGTAAAAATAATAGATATCTGTGACAATTTTCTTGTAATCTCGACCTATCAATTTTATTTAAATAAATTTCAAAGTAGAAATCTTTTATAGAAGCAAACATTGTAGAAGTTTATTTTTTACAGGCATTACTACGACTTAGCGAAGGAAGCCTGGAACAGGATATAATGGACCTGAAGCACCAACCTGAGAATGTGATAACGTCATGTCGCGTTTAAACCAGAGTTTTCACATCATTGCCGGAAGTATTCTCCCATAATAATTTTTCTTCTTTATAATTACCCTAGTGAAGAATTTTGTGTTTTGTTTTCCGTGAAAACTGTTAATTTTACAGATTGATACAATTGCATGTTACGCATGATGGACATGTATAGGCATAACAAATTTGTCTGTCTATCTGTCTTTAGTGGTCACACCTTCCAATTACAAAAAATAGACCTCTTTTTTTTTTATTGTATCCTCTCATAGGAGAAGAATATGTTTATTGAAAAACTCTAACCTGGTAGAGACCGTAAGCTGTGTTCTTATATAAAAGCATCCTTCTTTATGGGAAAAAATTGTAACCATCAATGAAATAGAATCAATCTACGTACAAGTACATACTTCAACACACACGACATCTATGTTTTTTTGCAGTGTGATATCATTTATTGGCGGAATACAAGTTTTTGTAATTACTCTGCACTTTCGGGTAAGCAGTTCAATTTTTCGTATAATAAACAATAACTTAAATAGCGTTCCTAATCAAAAATACGTTTACAGAGAGAAAAGCACTTTTCATATAATCATTTGAAATATTGATCAAAGAGCAGCATTGTGAAAGGACAGATAGCATGCATGTGCAACATTTAAGAAATTATATGCTGAGCAATATTTTATGTTATTCTTTTTGACAAGAAAAAAAAAAGACTAAATGCAAAATGTACGTAATTTAGAAATGGTACCGAAGATATAAGACACCTTATTTTTGAATGTGATGATGTACGAGTACAAAGAGTAAGGGAAAAGTTGAATAATATAATATGAATTTTTTTTATCAATGATGTACAACGGAAATATATTGTTATAGGATTCTACTTTGAAACAAATGCAAAAAATACGTTTTTATAATACCAATATTTTATATTTAGCGTGTAGAATTTAAAATGGAATGTAGAATACTACATGTGAATACTCTACATGTCAGTGTTAGAACAATTTATCAAAGATTCATCATACAAGGATATGGATTTTATGCTGAACTTTTCAAAATGAAACGTTTAAAGTCATATATGGCTTATTTTTGATAAGTTTTGACTAACTAAGATTAAAAAGATCTTTCTATTTGTTTTATTACTTTATATAAAGTTAGAACTTTACTGTAAATTACACAGTTTAAATCAATCGCATTTCATAGAAATTAGAAATTGAAAACAATAACCGATTTATTTACCGACTCCGAATTTAAATATCAGACACAGTTTTAAGTCAATTTAACTATAGAAGCGTGGAGTTATTCAAGTTCAAAATTGGTGAAAATTTTATTTGAACGTAAATAGCAATATCAAGTTCATCTACGCTCGAGATCTCGTATATTTATTTTATAGCTCAGGCTTTGTAATGGACGATGGACTGCTTCTAAAGAAATGGATAATCGGTCATACATTCAAAAATATTAAAGCATTTATAAGTAGAAATAATCCCAAATAATAGAAAAGGGTTCTTGTAAAATATTTTAGGGAAGAAATATGGAATTTTTCCATATTAGCAGACAATGGTTGTTAAGGTTATAATATTTAAAAAATCAAATTAACTTTCTCTATCTTTTCCTACCTATGTGTACAGCACATATCTATATGACTGAAAAGGATATTTGGAAGACAATGGTTCTGTCTAAATTTCTACATTTTAAAAAGTTCAAATTTTATTCTATAGATGGAGCTTTGAAATAAAACTTCTAGAGAAAAATGTATAAAAATCTGAAAAATATTTATTTCTTTGGATACCTACCCTAATATGTAAATTCCCAATTATTGTTCCAAAGTATATTCATAAACAACTTAAAAGACTTTCAGTTTTGGCAAACACACAATCTCTAACTGGATGCAAGATGTGCATGTTTCACATACAGCTGTAGTGTTCAGTATTGCCATGAAGTAATATAAACAAAAGTGTTTTCCTTTTTTGTAACCATAGCAACAGTGTTCTTTTCTTCATCAACCTTGATCAATATATGATATTCAATTATATTTCTATCAGATTACTACAATTAATGGTGAGTTCGATAATATTATTCTTAATATGTTGTTGCCCCGGTAACAGTACATGCAGCATAAATCCTAATTTTTCATGCTATCGGTGTTACGGAGATCTGAAGATAAATGTTCGTCAGTCTTCATTTTCTATTTATTTCAACCATGAAAGTTATTTATAGCAAAATAATTCTAGAAGCTTTCTACACAACTTCAAGTATTTTTATTGTTTTTCTTGTATTTGTGATTGATTTGATTATTTAACACCTACCGGTACTATCAGTGAATATTGAACGTTTTTAGTATTTTAAATTTATGCTAGATTTATTTTCTAAACAATTTCTTTATTGCATAAGTGGCAATAAGGTGAAATGTTTTTGATGGAGTGGCTAATTTGGCTTTCCTAGTCTTTATCAAGGATCAAAAAAGATTCAGAGTAGCTGAAAATTTTAATTTTAAATTTCTTATGGTTGTAAGCATTGCAACCACGACATGTGGCATACAGGTTATGATTGGTTTTTGTTTCTGGTGTCAGACTTTTATAATTTACCAAGTTTCATCACAATCAGTGACCATGCGTGCCAAAAAATGTTAGTGGTTATAGGTAATTGCTCTTAACATACCTTGAATCGAATGTTACTCAATTAAAATAAAGACGCATTTTTAATCGTGTCAATTTTAATCTAACTGGTACGGCATTGGATTACTGGATTGACAAATCTTTTAAAACGCTTTTGATTACAGTTGCAAATAAATACCTTTGACAAATCAACATTATTAAACAATCTTAAGGAGAGAAAATACCATTATCAGAAAATCAACAGAATACTCAAAAGTATATCAGGTTGGAAATCCAACAAACGAAGGACTGATTGACACTTTTTTGCAATTTAGTTCTGTATCATACTTCCTGTTGCTCGGGATAAAATTGCCCAACTGATAAGTTCTTTTTTTTTTTACTGCAAAACATAAGACGATAACAAATGCAGCATTACTTCAGATCAGAACACGTCTTGGAGACAAGTCTAAAAGTCAGCAAAAGAACTTTGGGTGCGACGAAAATGGTAATTTCTTCTTCTTTTTTTCTCTCCATTATTTGATAGCAGAGTTTCAGAAATAGTAAGAACAAAGGATAGAAAAAATAGAACTAAAAGTGTTATAAACAGTTGTATCATTCTATCAAACATATTTATTCATTATAACAGAAAATTTTTAAATCTGGGTTTTATATTACATATCAGAATAAGGCAATAATATGCATTGTAACTCGTCTAATGATTGTATGAGTTTAATTTACGTAAAAGTTATGATAATTTATATTTCTTACACAGTAGAGATAAGTATGTGAAATAAATACCTGTAGTGAAAAAAAATATTAAATGTTTAGTTTTCGATTTAAGATAGCTTGAAATGGCTCTCAGCAAGGTTTCTGGTGGCGAGGACCACTTTCTCAGGCTTGCATTTGTAATAGTCGATGAACTTACTGAGTGTCTTAAAGACATTTTGTCATCTCAACTGCCTTCTTTGAAAACCATCGAAAGACTAATAACAGATGACTCCCTTAAACAAGAACTTTCTTCTGACCAAATTAATATTCTGCTACAGAATCAAAACAATGGATTTGCAGAATGTGATATAACTCTACTCTGTTTATTACTTAAAAATCTGTGCCCAAATATCAATCCACCATCACAAGGGTGGGGGAAGACCTCTTTTCCTGGAAAATCGGAGATAGCTTTGGGGGACGACATCGAAAGAATTAGGCTGATCAGAAACCAAGTGTTTGTTGATAATGAAACATTGGCAATCTCAGAAGATGAAGCTGGAAAATACTGGGTAATGATAAATGACATTTGTGAAAGGATCGGAAATACTACTGGCAAAAATAAGTCTCTGCAATTGCTGGCTGCAAATCATCGCCCAATAAGCGGGATGGAGGAAATGTTTGTTAAAGAGGAAAGTAGAGAATCGTGCACAGTAGAGGAAATAGAGTCTAGGATGAGAGAACTGAAGAAAATAGGTATTATTATTACATGTATATTTTTGCCCATCAAGACATTTTATTCAAGAATAAATACCAGAAAATAATACATTACAGAATATTACAAAAGAAACGGGGGGGGGGGCATTGTTTTTACCTGTTTATAAATGAGCCTTGAGGACCCTGTATTCACTATTTTTTCTTAATTTTAAATTGTTAGTGAATACAATCTACTGTTTAATCATACAAATTGTTCTACAAAAATTATTTTCACACTGAATTATCTACACGGCGGGTGTGACCGGTCGACAGGTGATGCTTACTCCTCCATGGTACCTGATTCAAATTCTGATGTTTTTGGAGGTCCGTGTTTGCTCTGCTCCAAATCTTTATTGCTTCAATGAACTTTGGCCTTGATTACATTTCTTCATCTTCACATTTCACTCACCCCTGTGTTTCCAGCATATATAATAATTCAAAACAGAAAAGTCCATGATAAAATCCAAATGTATATATCATAAACAATCACTCTGGTTAGTCCTTGCCAAATTCACAATTTTAGACTGTGTAGGTTTTAGACATACATAAAACTATATAAAGAATTATTTTCAGAAGAGTTACAAGAACTGTATTGAAGCTAAAACTCACATGAATATTTCAGAGTCATTTTTCCATTGTAATTAAAAGCAGAGAGTGGATAAAAAATCTAAAAATATTATTGTTGACATACATGTAATGGCAGTAAGGAAACCTTTGCGTCTTTTCTATTTCCACTAACTAGAGGCCGCTTACCAAGGGCAATAGCTCAGATAGCCTGTTTATGACTTTTTTGCATAACTATTTTCTGTAAATCGAATTTCGCTCATTAATTTTTTTTGTAAAGTAAAGCGCTGTTATTAGTCCCCTACCGGTGGAACCGGATGGGACAATAGGTTTCCTCCTCGTCTATCCGTCCGTCTAGCTGTCCCCCCGTCCGTCTGACTATCCCTCCGTCTGTCTGTACGTCTGTCTCACTTGATTTTCCGCATAAGCACTTGCAGATATTGAGTTGATTTTTGGTATGTGAGTGTATCTTGCTGAGTTACAGATCAAGTTTGGATTTTTGCGCTTCATTGATTTTTGAGAGAATTACGACCTTTTTAATTTTAAAGTGTTTTTCGCACTTTTTTCTAAATGCTTGTAGATACTGAGCTGACTTTTGGTATGTGAGTGTATCTTGATAAGTTACAGATCAAGTTTGGGTTTCGTTCCGCTTTACAAATGCTGTATAAGAATAAAATTAAAGTTATCGTTATTGAAATAAGACTTGTCTGTAATAAAGTGACTGACAAGGTAAACTTGAACAAACTGGCACCCTGCCAAATACTAAATCAAGTGCAAAAGGGGTTACAATAATTGAAATTGAGAGCGTCCTTGTTTGTCACTGACACGCAGAGTTTTATATTTTAAAACATCTTTACAAAAATTGTTAGTGATTTCAATTGAAATTTTTTAGTAAAATCTCCGAAAACTCCACTATCCTTATGACCAAATGAAATTATATGATAAAATATAGATAGATATTGATCGAAAATTTGACATCATTTTTCCTTACTATAAACATAGACCTTTGAATCAAACTTCACCTAAAATCAATTAAAAAAACTTTGTTTTTGGACATTTTTTGTTCATTTGCATAATTTTACAGCAGACACGCTCACAATATACCCCTCCGCGTGACCAACTGACCAGATACATGTATGAAAACAATATTTCCCATGCACGTGCCCTAATGACCAAGCATCAGATATGAAATTCCAGCGCATATAATACAGTATACTGCTGTTGATATTGAAATGCTTACCATTTTTTTGAGATACTTCTAAAA